TATATAAATTTTGAAAAATAAAAAAAAAAAAGTTAAATTAAGCTATACAAATTTAATTACTTGGTTTTTATAACATGAAATTTTAAATCAAATCTAGCTAACTAACTTTTTTTTTTAAAATTTTATATATAAAAATTTTTAAAATACTATAAAATTTTTTTACAAAAACCTATTTGGTTATTAAAACATAAAAAATTTTTTTTAAAAGTTTTCAAGCTTTGACTCGGCCAGGTTATAAAAACCAATTTATTAATTTTATATAGCCTTAAACAAAAAATTAATTAATTATAAAAGTTTAATACTAAACTCAAACCAAACTTGTTTAAATTCAAGTTTAGTTCGATTTCGGACTAAACCCAAAGTTTGGGTTTATCGGAACACTAATTGTATTATTTCACGTAACACACTTCTCATTTACATTTGATAAAAATACCTAAAACCCGACTCACAATACATAAAACATATTACAAATAAAATACTAATTATTTCCTTTGGGATATATAAAAACATGAATTTGATTAATATCAGGGGATTCAGAGAAATAACTTCCAATCGCAGTACTTGGGTCCATATGTTCTTTTACTTCTCTAGCAATATCATTCCTGTAGAGATCGAAATTGTTATAACACGTCCGCCATTTACAAGCACATGCTTAAAGTCGTTGACAGTTTGCATTATTTGAGTATTAATAATGAGTGAAAAATCATTACTCCATCATCATCTTTAGCTCTGGATCCCGAACTCCTATTGTACTTGCATTATTCATTATTATCATTACTGTCGACATTATCACTAAAAAAAAAATAATAAATATAAGTTAGAGATAGTAAAAAATCGTTTTTTAATGATTTTAATGTTTTTTAACCTGATTTAATAAAATGGGTTTAAAACATTGTTGATTATGGCACTGATGGCTAAAACCGAAATTACTGCACCTGATTAGATAATTTTAATTTCAGTATTGCCGTTATATTTAAATAATATTATGATCGTATCGCATGATCTAAAATAAAATTTACCCGGTTATCAATGACGATGATTTAAATCATAAAAAAAATCATTTTAAAGCAATATAAAATTGATTTAAAACATCGTTTTAAATAATTTGCCATCCCTAGTATAAGTACTTAAAAAAAATATACTGTATAATAAATAAAATTACTCGATATGGTTATGCTGTTGTTGTTGCTGCTGCTGTTGTCATTGTTGTTTCGTTATTGCTGTTGTTTCTGTTGCTGATGCTGTTTCTGTTGTTGTTGCTAATATTAATTCTGTTGTTGTTTCTATTGCTATTGTTGTTGCTGATGATTTTTTTTGTTCATTGTAGCTGTCCCACATGGAATTTGCATTTTTCATTTCTACCTATTAGCTTTATAAAAGTAAAATTAATAAGAAATGTATTCACCCGATATACAATTAGGTGCGACAGATTTATCGATAAGCATAATTAGACAAAAACAAAATGTTGGATGCAGGAATATATCAACAGCTAAGTTTTTTGCTATGTATAAAGGAAGGTACATAACCGATTGTTCTTTCTTCAGAATCAGTAGACCCTCATAAAAAAAAACTTATATTGATAGATCCCATGACGTCTCCCTAGTTCGTCAGACGAGAGGTATGACGCATCCATTTCAGTCTTGGCAGTCCTTCTTAATGGGGACAAGACCTAGGCGAACCCCATTTTTTCTCGTCCTATTATACTTACAGCTCTATGATTCCGAAGACGCTGAGCAACTTCATGTAGTTCCCTTGGTTGGTTTATATCATCTTTAAGCTTTATTAAAATACGATAAAATGAAAGTTGTGCTACTGTTTTGTTATAAAATTTTCTAACGTAAAAATCATGGTAACGTCACAAAAAATCACGTGCCAGAAAAATTATTTTGTAAACAGCGGATCACGCATCCATTTCCAATATCGTTATATT